AATAATTTGCAAAAAGTAGACAATTTTTCTGGCTTTCTAACTATGCGACAAGAACTGTAACAAATTCATCCAAGCTAGTCCTTATCTTTCCCGTAGGAACGAAGCATGTACTAACAGTGAAATTGAAAATTCTCTGAAATTTTCATAAAACAACATTACACAATATGTCATTTGATAGATGAAAATCTTGGCTTTCTATTAGTTATAGATAATATAGAATTAAACATAAGAAAGAACTATTAAATCCTGAAAGAGAAGATGTGACATGTCAGTGTGGGAAGAGGGGTCTGATTTTCTATTTGATAGCTCTGAAACCAAACTAAATTGAAGGCTATAAAAATTATGGTTTGTCTGGGCAATGATGACTTTATAGTGAGTAATTTACGTTTAATTTCTTACTTATTGGAGGGGTAGTGGATAAAATATAGAAGATGCATGTGACACAATAGGGGAAATTCAGGATTTTTTTAAATACTGCCGTATAAAATTAAGAACTTAAAACTTATATAAACTTATATATATGGATTATTAGCTAAGATGTTATGCTATACTAATTGGAATAACATAAACAAAAAGTAGATTTATAAAATTTTGAATGTAAATCACTAAAACCTCATAACATGCACAGTAAAGGATACCCTTCACAATAGGGTTAAACATGTTTTACAATAAAACATTAACCAGGTTATTTTCCACACAAAATTTATAATACATATCCATCAAGATGTCATTCAATCACAAGAAGAATCAAAACAAAACTTTCACTACAGTATTAACCAGGTAAAAAATCCTTACTAGAATACTTTCATTGGGATATTATTAAAGCATTATAAACTATATTACAAAGTTTTCACCACAGAACTATCTTAAGAACCGACATTTTCATTTTTTTTATTAAAACTATGTTTAAATTTCACAATCTTTAACAAAGTATCATATTCCATAAACAGAAACCTTACCATCTATATCATCTAGAATAAGGTACTTTTGTATCACTTGATGAGGTGACTTCGCTTCCTGTCTTACAGTCTGTCAAAACAAAAATATAAAGCTTAATAAATCTGACTAAACATATCATGGTAAATTCTTCTGGTAACAGTATTGTGCATTTTCTTAACTAAAGAGCTTAGTAGTTAAAATTTTGATTAATATTACACAAATAAAATCATATTAAAACATTACAGTGTATATATATATATATATATATATATATATATAC